AGTTGGTATAAGATGTCACATCGTGGGATCTTTAGTCCCAGACCTCAGGCTTTTCCCTCCCATGAGACATGAGAGGGATTGAGGAATACAACCTCATGTGCTGCATTTTTGCCTTTATGCTCTGTACTGTAGCTTTAACCTACAGGGGCTGTCTCCTGAAACGGGGAGAATTTTCCTGCTCCTAGTTAAGTTTGGAAATGTAAGCACAGAAAGTGTTGCAGATATCCTTCCAAATGCCTGGAAGTTTTCCTGTGGGGCCATCACAGTGTATTGTGTATTGATTATAATGCTTGGTGCCATTATGATGCATTGTGTCAAAGATCCCCCCTCATTAGCGTCTCAATGCTGGGAAGTGGCACAATGCAGAAGGCATCAGGGTTTACCGTGTCAATTCTTTGTATTATTTAAGAGATAGTGTCAGTGGAGGAGAGCGTTGTCACCAGATAATGGTCTCCTGCTGCTGGATAAGTGCCAAGGTGGAGCATTTATCGAATGTAAACATAAAGGCAAGGCTTAATTTCACTTGGTTTGAGGAGCTTTTCTGTTGATGCTGTCCTGAGCTGTTCTCAGGATGATTTTTTTTTTTTTGCACCTAAAGGACACTTTGAAGCATTGTGGTGTAGATTGCAGTAGAAGCAGCCCAGTAATTTAACAATACAATTAGGTTTAGTCTCTATACAAAAGAAATTTTCATGTGTGACTTTTACTCAGCCTGGGGGTATTAAAGACACACTACAGGGAAATCCAGACTAAGTGAGTTCTGTGTAGGTAGTGCTGTATTACCATGCAGGTAAGACACTTTCTGAATGCTGATGTTCAGAAGAGCTGGGTAAGTGCTGTGATTTCCACCCTGCCCAGGGCTGAAGGAAAGTGTTCACAGTAGCATTTCCTAAAGCTAAAAATAGAGTCCAGATATTCGGCCCCATAAATCATGTTCCCATAGTCAGATAATCTCATTTTCCCTTAAATTAAGGCTTTTGAATGGCAGCTTTTCGTGGGAGGAGGAACTATTATACTTAACTTTGCCTTCTCACTAAGTAAAAACAAGGCATATGTAAGTTAGTTCTCTCTTTTTGCTCTCATTTGTTTTTCACGTTAGGAGGAAGTTTCTGCTATTGATGTTTCTGTGTGAAACTCTTTGCCTTCACAGTTGATTCCTTTATCAGCACAGAATCTGGTCATGTGTCTACTGAAAGTTTGTTCATAACCTGTTCAAAATTGGTTTTTGTGCGTGTTGATAAAGTGGAAATCCCATTGTGAGGTGATGCTCTGAGACAAGACACACAGTAACCATAGTGCAACCAGAATAGAGAAAAAAAAATCACTTTTATACTTATTCTACTGAGGTGGTGTTGTAATCAAACTTCTTTGCATATGTGCCTCCTGTTGGATATTAGAGGTTATAACTGATATGTTTGTTCCTAATGTATTTCACCTGATAAACACTTGTTTTCCTATTCCATAGTAAATGCATATGTAAACAAGTGGTGGATTAATGGCTTGGGCCCTAGTCCTTCAGCAATGTTCTACCAGTTTGCTAGATAAAAAGTTACTTTAAAAAACATTGTTAAAGATACGGCATTCAATACCTTGTTTGTAGCAGAAGAAGAACAAAGTAGCAGTGTTTGAATTAAGGGAAGGGGGTGTCTAGGTGATCCACAGGTAAAAATTCTTCAACCTGAAATTGCAATTGGCAGCAGCACTGCCAATATTCAGTGCACATATCTTAGCACCAACTTTCTGCCATTTCAAGCCCCTCTCTTACTCTGCTCCCTACCCTGGCTCCCCGAGCGCATTTTTATGGCTTTAATTTAAACGAGTGCTTCTTGATATCTTGTTTACAAAGCTGCCAAAGTGAAAAATACCTGTATTATATGAGGCTTGCAGTTCCAGAGTTATCTCTGCACTACAACACAACATCATTATCCAGTCTGCCCCTTATCACTCAGCTGGTAATACAGACTACCGAGAGACTTGTGCCACTTTTGTTACAGCTTTATATGCTCAGGCTTATTGGTGATATCTTCCTCTCCAACTTTGTAAAGATCTTCAAACTGGTACAAGCCTGGGACTGTTCTGGAAAGATTAGATTCTTCTTAGTGATTTTTTTTTTCTTCTTCTTGAAGGAATAGGTGAATCATAGAAAGTAACTTTTTGATTTATTTTACCATCTTCTTGTCAGTTGAATAAAAAGTGTGTTGTGAGCTGCTAAGGAAAGGGTGTAGCTTTCTGTAGGGCTTTTTGGAGGGCTCTGCTGTACAGCATCAGTGATACACTGCAGAATTCAGTAACTGGTGTGGCTATCCAGAAGCCTCCAGCTGCCACTACCTTCTAACATACATTTTGCATTTTCTTGTATAAGTTCTCATATTCTGCTCCATATTAGTAGGTAGGCTTTGCTAACTGTGCAGAGTTACCATGAAGGGTTAGCAGTCCAGGTAAGTTACTTTACCTTAGGTGTTTTAACATTATATTTGCCTGTTCAAGGACTTAGAATTTTACAAATTCTTGTTTAGTGATAAGGTACAGAGGGGTAACTCTCCAGACCATCTTGTTTTGTAGCATGTCCCATCTCTAAGATGACAGTTTACAGATACTAAGTTAAGTAATTTAGCAAGTTAATTGTTTGGGCACTTACTTCACTTACTATTGTCAACAGATCACAAAACTTCGTGCCCAGACAGAAGGGATTAATATCAGTGAAGAAGCTCTAAACCACTTAGGGGAAATTGGTACCAAGACAACCCTGAGGTAAGTTGGGCACAGTTTTCTATTCAGTATGACTGGGTCTAAAACCACTCACTGTGGGATAAGTCACTGTTGGAAGCGAGAAAAACCTCTTTTACAATGACATTATCTGTTAACAATCATTAAAAAGAGATTGGTAATGCTCCTCTTTTCTTTAAAGAATGTATGTGCTGGAGTGCTTGTTGACTTTTTCATACTGCTGGTAGAGCTTTTTCCCAGCTAATATCCCACTTCTCTGTATCATCAGTTCCCTGGGATGCACTGAATTGTAATTACTCATCTGCCTCTGTTTGATCACAGGTATGCTGTGCAGTTGCTGACCCCTGCTAACCTGCTTGCCAAGATTAATGGGAAAGACAGCATTGAGAAAGAGCATATTGAAGAAATAAATGAACTTTTCTATGATGCTAAATCCTCAGCAAAAATCTTGGCTGATCAACAGGAGAAGTACATGAAATGAAAAGCTTATCACGTTAGATGCTTTGAAGTAGCTTTAACCCTTAGCCAGGGCTGGCTTAGTTATTGAATGAGAAACGTTAATGGTTTGTCTCTTTTGGGACTGAAGAATATTTAAATGTTGGACTGCTTTATCAGGCCAGAATTAACTATCGAGTGTTCCTATTTCATTATCAACAATAAGATGCTCCATGGTTTGTGTGTAACATCTGAGTCTCCCTTTTATCACTCTATGTGAAATTAGTAGCTCTTGACCCATTGGTTTTGTCTTTAGGTTTCGTTACAGAAGAGCTCCAACTGAAGTTGATGCTTAAGAACAGTCTATTTTCTTTATGAATCCTGTTTTAAAATAGTTTCCTTTTACAGATGAGAACTTTTTGTTTTTGAATCGAAGTTTGTCTGAAGTGCTTTATAATAAAATATGTCAAGAATACTGGAAGTGTGCGTGTGTTCACTCTGGGTGTTGACCTGTCTAAGAAACAGTCAAAATGAATTCAAAGTAACAAAGCTAAATATGCTTGAAATGGATCTGCAACATAAAAATAGTTTGCAGCAAAGGGAAAGATAGATTAGGACCTTTTAAAAGCGTTTACTTCTTCGTAGGGTTTGGGTTTTATTTTCTGAAGACTTCCTGGAAAATGCAGAAATACATAATAGTTATCTTAGCCCTATTTAAGGCCTTCCCCCCATAGTAACTTAAGTTTTTCTTGGGTTTTCCTAAAGCAGATTAAATAAAAATTGGTTTCCATCATGATTAGCTATTTTTTGCATTATCCCCACTTTCTTGATCACTCAGAATCAGGAAAAAGTTTCAAACTAAAGCTGAAATCCCGCTCTGCACAGACTTTGGATGAACTTCAGCTTAGTCTCATGTTCACAGTGTGCTTCCTTGTTTTGTGAAGCATGGACACCTGAGTGCTTCACAGCACTTCGAGGTTAAATGATTAACAATTTGATCCTTGTAACACTGAAAATGCAAATCTCTGTAAGCACATCAATGGATGTGTTGGAGAAAAAATGTAGGAGCCTTATCAAGTGACTAACATCACATTCCTTATTAGAAACTTTAGGGATTTAAAACTTTTATGTACACTACTTAAATAAGCATTTCTTGGAGTAGGATGGGGAAAAAACAGTAACTTATCACAAGAGGCCTGGTTTCAACGTCCTTTTTAGCACCTGCAAAGTGAAGAGGCTGAGTTTTCAATTAATACTTTTAATCTGAATGAGACAATGGCTCAAAAATAATAAATACACTCAGCCTTCCATTCTTTCACAGGAAGTCAGTGGTGAGAATCTCAGTAATAGCAAATTAGGCAGACACAGGCAATTGCCTTTTGTGGGGGGTTTGTTGTGTTGTTTTGTTATTAAAGCTGAAATCTACCTCTCTTACTCATTTTGCTTTCCTAAGAGGTTTTCTTCTGGACTTTGTGGTAGTTAAATAAGCTAAAATTATCACAAAGCCATTGCATGCACATTTGTATAAAATCATTTACATGGGTTAATTGATAATGTATCAAATGTAACAAAGCTTCCTTGTTAAATCAGGGAATTCTGCCTTCTAAAACATGCAGGAACTCAGTCATCATCTCCTTGGGAAAGGAGTCCAACTGCTAAAAATCTCTGTCCTCACCCCTTTATGCTCTGGAGGCTTGGCTCTTCCTTGTGCTGAAGTGCTGTTAGTGGAAATTGCTAATGATTTTTCAGCTCCAGTAACGTGGAGTGGACAGCAGGCACTGCTGGGGAGAAAAAAACAGAGCTGAAAGGAAGCTGGGTGGTTTGGATTAAATAATGTTTTGATCATATTCTACCATCTCAGGCATGTAAAAACCTGTCCCATTCTTCAAAGTAAAATTCAATACTGTTGTCAGCCAGCCCTAATTAGCTTTTGTACTTTAAATAATCTATCTACTCCTTTCTCTACATCTGCAAATAAACAATAGTGACAGATAGATTTAATGAATGATTTTTGGTTTCTCTGTGAATATTTTTGGCCAAGGAGCATTCCTGCTTTCAAAACTAAAAATCCACTCTCTTACTAACCCCAAATGAATAAAGATTGCAATTATACCATAAGAATAATTTTCAAAGTTTTTACTGTGGCTGGATGGCACGTTCTGTTTTAGTGCTATGGCAGCATAGGAAGAGACAGTGAATTAAGCTGCTGCATGATCAAAACTGAACCTTTTTTTTTTTCTGTTGCAGTTTGAAAGTCCTTGGCAATGATTAATGTAGTTATTTAAGAATATAAGTACCATTTTTCTTTGAGTTTTCTGAAATATCTAACTGATCAATTTAGAAAGAAGTTTGAATAAGCCCTAAATAATTCTGAATGCCAGAGCAGTTCAAAGGCCCAATCAAAATTTGATGGCATTGGCTTTTTAGTGATAAATTTGTCTCTGTTCACTCGGCAGTAAAAGACCTACTGGGGCAGTGAAGGCTGGTAGCTCCTGGAGTACTGAAATATTAAGACCACTCTTCCCACTTACCATGAGCAGGAAGGGGCAGAAACTCTTGTTTCTACTTTAGCAAGCCAATTGTTCCTTTGCTTACAAAACGTCCTTTATAAAAATTCTAGCTCTGTAAAACTGGGAAGAAATATCTGTTCTCACAACAGTAAAACAAGTGATTCTCTGTAAAACTCAAGCTGGGTAGCCTGCCAGACCTCAGATACAAGCAAAGACCTGGGAAGAAGTGAACTGTGTGCCATACACTGCAAATAAGCAGCTCCATCCGACCCTGGTTTCACAGCAGACTTCATGACTGATGGTACCTGTCACTTGAGACTCACTGCAGGTACAAGTGTACTTTAGGAAGAAAACAAGATCTCAAAATACACACGGGGGTAAAGCAGCAGCAATCAAACTAAATCGGTTTTCCCAAACCTTGAGCAATTAAAAAAAAAAAAAAATAATTACATTGTCATGTAAGACCATCCTTACATCTGCCAAGTCTGGCAGAGCAGGGGCTGTTCCCAAAGAATCCCCAGAAAGGAGCAGGGACCCTTCTGATGGGCAGAACTTGGTGCAGAGTGTGCTCAGGAGGGGCTGCTGTTACCTACAGGTTTTGCTCCTAGAAGGGCCCCACTTTTCCCTTCTGCACTTTCATGTCTGTACAGCAAACAAGCCCCTGCCCCAGCCCTGCAGGACCTGTCCCCAGGTGCCACCTCTCTGGTGGCCATTAACTGCCCTGGGAAGATGAAGAGCTGTGCTACAAAGGGAAAATCCTTCCACTCTAAATGGTGAGCCAATGTTTATCTAGCCTATTAAGTGACGTCCAGCTGACTTACTGGTGTCAAAGCTTTGCCCATGAAAAAAAAGTCTTTCATATTACTGATAAAAATAGTTCTGTTGAAAGAATCACTGCACCATATACAATAGGTGCTGCTGAAAGATCTTCAGAAAAAGTAGAAATACTTCTGACACAAAGCTGCCCCTCGAAGGAGGATGGCACAGGCAGCAAGGAACATTCCCTCCAAATAAGTTTGGTTATTAATATTAAACGTGAAAGAACAAACTATTATTTTAATTCTTCTCTTCCTATTTTCCACAAAGGTTGCACTTGATGCATTAATCTTCTCAGCGAAGTTTTTACGAGAGATTGCCTACACACTATGAGAAGTTTCTCCATCCATTACTTGCAGGGAAACGGGTGCTGCTGTATAGGAAAATATTTGTTACATCTTATCAGGGTGACACATAATCTAACAACAATTACAGCAAGCCCATATTTTGTACTATTTCGTTTTCAACGTGAAAAATAGTTCTAATATTAAACCTGGGGTGGGTGGGGGTTATAGTAACCAGTTGAATATTGTAAGCTGTGATTTCCTTTCAGCGTGCAGCAATGCCACACTTGGAGCCTGCTCTGAGACTGTGGATACACATAAATCCAGTGTTCATCCCTCCTATGCAGATGCCATAGTCTGGTAGTGCCTGGAAGTTGATTCCTCCTGTTTATACACACTGAGGGCAGAAATTGCTGTGTCTTTAGTTTGCATGTGGCGAAAAGCATTTAAAACACAATTAACATTCATAAGAAAAACAGGAGATAGTCTGAAAGCTGACCCAGCCAGGAAACCACCACTGTCAAGAAAACTCAAGACTATAGACATCCTGAAAACTTCCCATCCCAAAAATTGGTCCAGATGCCTTCAGTGGAAAAAAACTTTGATTCCCCTCTTGCATTGGCTTTTACCATTTGAAATTTGGGTACCCACGAACAGCACCAGGGTGAATACAGCAGCTCAAAGCATGGTAAGAGTTTTGCTGTGGGTCAGCAGGCACAAGACACAGGTACAACCTTACCTCAGGCTGCAGGATGGCCAGAGGATGTGCTGGTGTTACACCAGTGACCTGTTCTACACCCTGCAGGGCCAGCAAAACATTAATTTGAGAAACCCTTCCTCTACCAATGCCTGTGCACACAGCTGGGGTGCGAGATACATCAGTGTTCCTCAGGGTGGGCAACACTTCACAGAGGTGAAGATGATGATGCTTTTTATTTCTTTTGACAGAAGATACCCTGGTATTCAAGATGCATTACCAGCAGGAGTTTATTTTCAACTCCACTGTTCCCATCCAGTCTCACAATGCCCTGAAGCAAACAGGAGCTTTTCCTGCCTAACATTTTGGTATCTTTAAAAGGAACGAACCAGTGCCATGCTCTGCACCAGCTTTGGGAGCTGGATAGGAACACACTTTGGGCTCTCAGTTCACAATTTGTATCTCTTCTGCCAATTAATAGCTTTGGAGTCTGTGCATCCACGTACATTTTTAATTGTACATGTCCAAGTGAGTCATTGACACCAGCAAAGCAACAGCACTTGTATCCTGGGAGTTAGAGCCACAAAATCTATTTAGTGGCAACATTTTGATAAAGCGAGCAAGCCAGGGAAAGAGCAGATTTTTTTTCCCTTTAAACAACAAAATTAAGAATGAATTTATTTTTATTACAAAACGTTGTAAACAACCTTCACTTGGGTTTTTATTTTTGGGTAGCAAATTAAGGATTTCCAAACAGAAGAGGACATAACACTCACTTGACCTTGTAACTGAGCAGCACTGCTGGGCTCCCAGCCCTGATCTCCAAACCTGGCACCCAGAGCCTCCCAGCTCTGCCACTGCCCATCTCCACTGGCTGACTGCCCCGGGACTCTGCCAGCAGCCAGGGCAGCTTGTGATGGTTTTCTGGTGTAAAACCAGAAAACAGGCAAACAAGGGCAAAGAGGAGAGATTTGAGCACGTTTCAGATTGGAAACCAGGCATAGGAAGGGGTGCAGGGACGGCAAAGAAGCAAAGAACACGCTCACATCTGCAGCTGATACTCGCTTTCTCTGCCAAATAAAATTCAAATTCCTGAGCCTGGAATGAAAAGTGGGAAAATGGCACAACTTGAGGTTTTACTGCCAGCTCAACATGGCCTCTGATCCCACAAGTT